CCCAAATAATATGCTAAGATCACAAGATTTCATTCAAACTAAAATCAACCTTGAGTCCCAAGCTGTCAGTGCCTCAAGACTTGACTATTTTCTTCAAATCAATAGACAATTTTAGATAGCCTTACTTGAATTTATATATAAAAAAAAAAAAGTTAGTAATTCGAAATTTGCCTCTTGGCACAATTCTAACTAAAATTTAGTAAATATAACTTACCAATGATATTAATATGAAGTCCTTGAGGCCAAAAAGACGATTGCATTATGGGACCAAGAGATGAATGGCATATTGATGGAGCCTACAAGTTTTTGATTATCGAGAAACTCAATAATAAAAGAAAGTTCTTCTTAATCCACAACTAGCATTTTACATAATTTTAGCTGAAATTTTGTAAATAAAAACTTGACCCAAAAAGGATGTTATGGGATTGAAAGAAATGAATGATGCATTTGATGGACGCCCACAAATTTTCTATTATGACGAAACTAATAAAACCCATGAAATCATTAGTTTATTCCCTACCAATTTTTATTTACAAAGTTGATGTCGAAACCATCAATACATGAAGTTTTATTACAAATATCAAACTTTTATCTCCTATGAGATTGGGAATTACAAAGATGTTGAATTACTAGCCAAAAAAAGATTGAGAAACAAGGCCATTCAAAGGGAAAAAAAAAAAAAAAAGAAAATGTTGGCTTACAAGAGAAATTATATTTTGATTTATAATTTTAACTTATCAAGTGTGGGTTAAATTAGAACTTGTCTAACATATTTCAAAATGTACAGATAATCAGATGTGTTTATATAGAATAAAAAATATTAATTATAAAAAAAAAAAAAAAAAAAAAAAATTGCTCTCCAAAATTCGGCTTTGACATGTAAAATATTTAATTACGATTGAATATTTAAAAATTTGTAAGAAAAAATTAACTAAAGCTATTACTGTAGAGTAAAATGTAATTTCATGCATTAGTTGGCTAATAGAAATGAGGCGTAACCAAAATTCGTAACTATAAACCCCAAGTTTTTATACAATTATTTAGTAACCAATTAATTATATTGAAAATTTAAACGTATATTCAACAACTAAACCTTCATTGGTTTTGGTTTTGGTTTTGGTTTTGGTTTTAATAGGCAACGAAACCAGACGTTAGTTTATTAAATGGAATTTATTTGTAAATAATATGATTACATGTGCTAATTAATTATCACATTAATAAAATTGAAGCTAACTAGTTACTAACTACACTATAAAAACACTCAATGGGAAAGAAATTAAAATGTATTGACATTTTTGTTATTTTAATTAATTAAAATATCAATTAAATTATACGAATTGACAGGCTATGGATTATTTGATAGGGCATATGCAACACATCATATTATATATAATTTGACGAGTGTAAATTCATTCACCTTTTAGTTCATAAAATTTCAACGAACTCCCAAAAGATCTAACAAAATCCAAATTTCGTGTAAAAAATTGAAATCAACATGCGCTTGCTGGTGACAAAACGCTAAAATTTACTTATTTTTAACCCATCATTTTCATTATTGATGGATGATAAATGATGGGTCCAAACCCACCATGCAGTCCTAATTAAGTGTCCAGCAGCCCATTAAATCTCTCTCTCTCTCTATGTAATGTGTGTGTGTGTCTACATAATTAATATTATCTATGATATTAGCATAGTTAAATCGATTTCAGTTAAATATCTATCAAGGTTTTCTTTTAAAATTTAATTCATTAATTAATAGTAATTTTAAAGTATATTAATTAGTGCAAACTTAATTGATATTGTTTCGAGTGATGATGATATGTATTATTTATATATAGATATCTGTATGTGCTATTCAATTCGTTTATGGTGTGAAGGAAATTGTTTATGTGGTGGCTACAAGACTCTGGATTTTGGGCCTCCACTGGACCTTCCATTAATATGTCTAGATGTGAACATATGGGATGAAAGCTATGTCTGTTCTCTTGTATTTATGCATGTGAAAGTAGTTGCATGATTTGTTGCTATTCTACTTTTCTTTCTTAAGAAGGCTATTAAACAAATTATCCACATACATAAAATTTAATTTGATCTTTAAATCTATAAAATCCGCATTTGGTACGAATCTGCTCTGAAATTGATTGTTTGGAATAGTCTAATTTCTTTTCTTAAATTTTTGGGATCAATATTTACAGTTTAAAATCCATCTGTTTAGTTTTATTTCCGTATTAATTTGTACTGATTTAATAAAAAATAAAAAAATTATATAATAAAAAATAGACAAAAATTACGACATCTGTCTCTCATCTTTTTTTTTTTATTTTTTATTTTTTTTTATTTTTTCACATCTCGGGTTTTTAACAGTGTTTCTTCCTTTCTTTTCTCCAGCAGCAGCCTCTTCCTTCAGTCCTTCGCCTTCAGCTTCTCAGCAGTAGCACCAGACCAATTTTCATCCTCTTTCCCACGCAGGCAGTCGGCCATGCACAAATCTCTTACTTGTTTTTATTAAATTGTAAAATTTTAAATGTTTGTAATTAATGTATTTAGCTAACATGTTTAGCTTTTTATTGACTTTTTAATTGCAAAATTAAATTTTTATTAGATTCAACTTATAATAAATTAGAGAATATATTGTATATGTTTTTAATTAAAAATATAACTAAATCAAATTCGAAAGAATTTTTTGTTTCCAAAACCCATTTATATCTATATTCAAATAAATGTTTTTTTTTTTTACTAATATTTAAATAAAATTTTAAGCGACTCTTTTGTTTTTATTTTTATGAAAGAATCAGAATAAATTATAATGCAGTCACCGTATATCATCCAAAATCTATTCGTTAACATTATACATGCGGATGCGTATGTTAGGGTGTGGTGTTTATAAAATGATGACATGGTCAAAGAGATGACTGTGTCGTGGGTAGTAAAAAAGTCAACCATTCCTATGAAACGAGTAATTAAGTCGGTAGAAGCAAATTTGAAAGGAAATTATCCAGAAGAAAGTATGGAGGGTGATAGAGATACTTCACAGTAAGTCTTAATGCTACTCTTTTCAATACACCATTAAATATTCCCACTGCCAAAACTGAATAAAAGTTGGAAAAAAAATATATAATTACATTTATGTCATTTGTTTTTATTATACTCTTCGTAATTCAGTATTTTACAACTTAAGGACCAAGAAACTTTGATTTTCGTTACCACGTGAGAATATCTTAATTTTTATTCCTAAGATTTACATGTTTATTTGTACATAAAAATACCCATTTGGTATTAACACCCACCTATTAACATTCATTTTGTTTTAAATAACTAAATATACTTTTATGTGTAAGTATTTATAAATTCTTTGGAAAGATTTTTATTTGTCAAATGGAACATTAAGTCTTCGCAAACATGCTTAATCCAAAATTTAAAGGTCTATATGCGATGCTATTTTTAAACTTTTTGATTAAAAATATATATATATATATATATACACAATAGATGTGGTATTTAAAATACAGGAAAATTTAATTAATTAAGTAAATAATTATTTGACCGGTAGTCTTTAATTTGAGAACATTTATTATACATACAGGAAGATTAATTTTATAGTATCCAAGCGAGATCTTTAATTAATTTTTATATTATTTGGTTTATCTGACTTCGTTTTCTCCTTCCAAATTAGTCTGGAGCAATATAAATTAAATATTCTTAAAGTGGAGTGGGCTGGCTAAATAAGGGTTGCTGCATTATTTCACATGATATATATATATATATATATGCATATTGGAAATGATATAATTATAATAAATATTTTGCTGGCATATTTGGATGGCAATAATAATCTAATTGTGGTGTGACTCAGAAAATACAAAATTAAATCGACATGGGAAAAGACACATAAATATTTTTTAATTAGAAAATTTGATATTATTTGTCCATACTTCACAAGCACCATCCATGCAGCTCACATGCACGAAGCAAAAAGGTGAAACAATTAAATTGAGGCATGTTGGGCCAATCAGCACTTGATTCTTAATGTACCTAATCATCACGTTCATAACATCCTTCAATGCACTTAAATATGAATTACAACTTTTTATCTTACTATATTTTAACATCTAAAAACAACAGCCTAATTAATCCAGCTACAATATTGTAGTTTATCAAGAGGCAAACAGTAAAATGTTCTTTTCCATTACCTCCTTGAAATATTAACGAAGTCTTGTTTTCGTTCTATTTTTAATTAAGTTAGAGAAAAATGTTATTAAATATTCATTTTTTAAATTATATATTTTTTCAGATGTTCTGGAAGCATAATGAGTTGACAATTTATTTAAAATTTTTATTAAAAAATCATGGAAACAAAATTTAAAATATGTTATAAATATATCATATTTACAAGGTGTGTTAACTCATTTGTCATTTTTGGAATTTTCAGTAATAATTATTAAGAACCCGTCAAGGAAAAAAAAAAAAATTATCGGGCACTGTTTTTCGTTCTGTTCTAATTTTATGGTGTACACATGTGTACATATGCTGAATATATATATATATATATATATGTATATCTATCTATGCGTACAAGAAGAATAGGGCAAATGTCGGATGTTGAGTATTTAACCTCCAAAATTAATATACAAAACCCTAACAAACGCCTGTTTGTTTTCAAAGTTAAAAATTTATGAGCCTAAAGCTACATGTACGTCTTAACTAGCTGTTTTCATGAATTGAATTACATTAATGTTTAAGGTGATATTGAAATTTGAAAAACAATTAAGATGAAGAGAGTTAAAAGGGCACATTGAATGCCACGCGGTTTTGTGAGACACAGAAGGTATTGGCACAGCTGACTTTGGGTAACCCTAGAGTTAATGCATTTGCTGTCATCTTTTGACTCTTTTTTTTTTTTTTTTTTTTCCTGCTTTTAATTAGCTTTTAGGTCAGCGTCTTCTTCTTCTCTTTCCATCTACTTTTCCTATATATGCAACGCCAAACACACCTTTTCTCTTAGACCCACAAACAAGCTGGAGAAAAAAGAAGCTTCTTTCCTAAGAGAGAAGAACACAGCATAAGATAAAACTTGTTTTGGTTGAAGCTTTCTTGGAAAATTTTCTTGGTAGAAAATCGAAAGGATGGGAAGACCACCCTGTTGTGATAAAACGGGTGTTAAGAAAGGGCCATGGACTCCTGAGGAGGATATCATTTTAGTGTCTTATATTCAACAACATGGTCCTGGTAATTGGAGGGCTGTTCCTACCAATACAGGTTAGGAATTCATTATATTTATGCATATGTGCGTGTGTAAATATTTCTTTTTAGTTTTTACTCTATTCTTCACTAAATAGTTTTGATTTTTGGTCTTGAGATATTTTTTTGGATATCTAGCCTTTCTCTTGTTTTAATTTGTTAGCTTTAGTTGATCACTGCGGATATATATATGTATGTATGTATATATATGTTCATGCTTATTGATATGGTTGGATTTTTTGATGTGGGTGTTTTAGGGTTGCTTAGGTGCAGCAAAAGTTGCAGGCTTAGATGGACTAATTACCTAAGGCCAGGGATTAAACGCGGTAACTTCACAGAGCAGGAGGAGAAGATGATAATTCACCTTCAAGCTCTTTTAGGCAATAGGTAATACTTGGTCACTTTGCTTCTGGAAACTATCTAATCTTTTATTATATGTTTCCTGGTGGTAGATATTTAATTTCACAGTTTCTGATAAAGAGTAATTAATGAGGCATTTATTGTGGGTGCAGATGGGCTGCCATAGCTTCTTACCTTCCTCAAAGAACAGACAATGATATCAAAAATTACTGGAATACCCACTTGAAGAAGAAGCTCAAAAAGCTTGAAGAAGGTCACCAGGGAAATTTCAGAGAAGGTGGTCATAATCAATCAGCTTCATATCCCACATCAAGAGGTCAATGGGAGAGAAGACTACAAACTGATATTCACATGGCTAAGCAGGCTTTAGTTGACGCCTTGCACCCAGAACAACCAAACTGTTTGTCTCAGCTGAAATCCTATACAAAACCAGGGCAAACATCAGCCTATGCATCAAGCACAGAGAACATAGCTAAGTTGCTTAAAGGGTGGATGAGGGATTCTTCTTCAAAACCAGCTTGCGCCAACTCAGATGCAACTCAGTTCTCATTCAGCAACATGGCTCCGGGGACTGAGTCTGCATCCTCCAGTGAAGGCACTGAGCAGAACCAAGTAAATAACAGTGATTGCATGGAGTTATCAGAAGGTGGGTTTGATGAGTCAGTACTGTTTGGTTTTGATTCGTTTGAGAGCTCCAATTCAGATTTCTCCCAGTCTGTGTCACCTGAGGCTAGCCTTTTCCAAGACCATGAAAGCAAATCAGATCAACACAATGAACAAGTTCCTCTGTCTTTGCTTGAGAAATGGCTGTTTGATGAAGGTGCTACTACACAAGGGAAGGATTTCCTTAGGGACTTGACATTAGATGATAATGCTAATTTTTTCTGAAGGGCAAGCGATTGTAATTCTTGTTTTAGGCTAATTACTTTTTTTGGATCTTGATTATTTTTGGATCTAGGTGATGATCATGTTGCACTGATAGAATTATTCCACAGTGGCCCTGTCATGGAGAAATTTAATTGTCACTTGTCACCCTTTATTAATAGTAGAAACCGAAGTGTAAATTTCATTATTATTATGTCAGGTTTCTTCAGATGCGCTAATAAATCTTTGGCCATTATCTTGTTAAAACTATTCATGATCTTTGTAAGATAGACTTCAATTTTAAAATGTTCAGATGCAGTATGTCACCTTTCAAAATATCTAGGTACGTTGAACTCATGGTTCTATTGTTTTCATCTCTCCGATCTATATATATGTATGTGTATACATATAAATGTTGAGCGATTGGAGCAATGTTGGTCACTATCATGAAGAAAGTTGAGTTGTACTGAAGTCTTTTATACTTTTCTTCCTTAAAAAAATTCTTAAGACTTTGCATTAATTGGGTTCATCTTGGTTTGAGAAGGAAAATTAACAGTTTAAAAAAAAAAACCCAGTTCTTTTGACTGTATGCATCACGTGTTTGAAAGATCAATAAATTACTGACATTTATCTTAGAAGTTTTAAGTTATACTTTGAATAAATACAAAATAGTTGTAAAATTTATTCCAAAATTTTCACGTTGCAAAACCAAAAAATGGGTAACAGTACTTTTTAGAACAATAAAAATTAATTTTATATAGAAATATTTCCTGTGGAATAATTAGAGAAATATATAAGTTTTAGATTCTACCAAAATTTGTGCTCTAACAATATGTTGTGAGTTTATTTATATATGTATGATCAAATTAATCCAAAAAATCATGAAGATTCTGAATCCAACGATTGTTTTTAGCTGTGCGTGTAAGTGGAATTAGCAAAAATAGCTTTTAAAATGAGAAAGAAATTATGTAGACTGAAAAAGTTTGGATGGATGAGCCAAGTTTGCACTAATAGAGGCCAGCCATGCTTTTTATTTATTGTTTGAGACGAAGAATTAAAGTTTGACTTGCTTTCTTGTGAGCCTGTGCATGCCAAGAAGCTAGAAAGTCAACCACCATGCATACCTTTGATTAATTGAAGCAAGAAGATACACAGACATAATTAGTAAGCTGACTATGGCCTGTCTGTAAAGTTAAAGTGTGTGATGTAAATTCCCCAGATCATATAGTTTCGTGAAAGTCTTTATGGTTTTTGTAATTGCTTTTTTCATTACATGATAGATTTTTAATTAGAAATGAAAATTTGAAACTTAGACTCAAAAGAAGCTCCACATACTTTCTCCAAGCAGCAGTAGTTAAAACATATATATATTTATATATATGTTGTATATCGTGACTCATGAGTTAAAGTTGAATGCTCTTCACCAAGAAAAAAAGCAGAGAAGTGAGTTATCGTTTCAACTAATAAAGATTAGAAGAATATGCTATTATTGCACTTGTTGCTTTTAGTCCCTTTTTTCAATGTATAAATTGTTTACAGTGTATTATAGGCAGAAACAGCTTTGGAAATATGCAGATCAAATAGACTTAAATGCACATGTGAATAGTTTTGGTGGTGGAGTTTTTACAAGTTTAGCAATTTTAATACAAGCCATATTATATACGTATATACAGGTAGCTAGCTAGCTATAGCCTCAAAAATAAGTCTTACTCATGTAAAGCCAGAAGATAAACGGTAAGGTCCTCATGAACACTATTATAGTATATATGGCAAGTGGTAAGAATCCACACCACATATATATACATGCAGATCAAAGAAATATTCTCCTCCTCAAAAAAAAAAAAAAGAAAATTTTTTAAAAAGGATTGAAAAAAATCATAAAAGAAAAAGAAATGTCACACAATTCTTTCTCTCTCTTTTTTTATTAAAGAAATTATAAACTGTAAAATAATTGGGTCTTTATTTCAATTATGGAACAATAATACTTAGGTAGACCTTTTCATCTTCTCCTTTGACTATACAAGATGGTTCAATAAATACTTGTCTGCTGACCTTAAATCAAAGGGTCTGCGATGTAAAGGATGAAAATTAACCTAACACATAAAAGAGTAAGGACAAATTAATGTCATTTTAGTTCACGAAGTATTTATTATGTTATAATTAGGCCTTAATTAAGAGCTTTTAATGATTTGATCATAAATTTATGAAAAAGAAAGTAAATACTATAACTATTTTTTGATTTTTTAGTTTCTAATTCTAAATTTATTTATATTACTCAAACAATATTAAATTTTTTTTTTTTTTTTACTTTTATAGAAATTTTAATTAAAAATTTTGGTTTCGAATTCTTTTATAAGTTAAAAGGATTGTATTGCAAGAAAAAAAATATAAAACTAAATTACAACATAATTCTTAATTCAATAAATCAGTAATTATCTAAAAAAAATCAATAACGTACAGAATGCAAATTCTTTCTCCAGACAACATTTAGTGCAGTGGAACAGTGAAGTGATGGGTGCAGCTGGCACACAGCAGAAGAACATGAGGCCAACCTTCCCAACTTAATTCATTTTAGAGCAGCATGCAACTTTCAATTGAATGAACTATTCAAATTTTATAATAATATTGTACTTCTTATTTCAACAGCAAGACTTACAAGAAAAAGATTTAGGAAAGATTGACCTTTGAAAAAAGGAACTAGGAAAGATTTTCGAAGACCTTCCATCTATTAGGTATATATATATATATATATATATATAAATTAAATTCATAACTTTTTTTAAAGAAAAAAACTGTAAATTATAGATAGAATTTTAAAGATGGGTGTCGTTACAATTGGCCATATACTAAAATCTGGGGAAAAAAAAATAGTATATGTAATAGGTTCTCCCATGCATGCATATTGCTCTTTTTACACTCTTCTTACGGTTTTTCTTTAATCTTATATTGACAAGTAAAAATAATGAATTAAGTTTAAAAAATAAATAATAATAATAAATTAACAAAATAAGTAAATTAACAGATTTGGTGCATAAGACAATCAAAACAACATAGAAAGTAAATCAAAATTTTTATCTTCTCTCATAAGTTCTTTAATTGTATCAGGACATTATTAATTTCTAGAGGTTCATAGGGATAAGACACAGAGGAACAATCATAAGTGAGAATTTGAAATCTTTACCATTACCAATATAAGTTAATTATATTATTATAGAAAAACTAACATAAAGTGACAGATACTTTAATAACAAACTTTCTTTCATTATTAAAAATAGACATATACAATTAATTATTGTTCATCTAAGGTGATCCCTAGTCTTTTTTCTCTCTTTGGTACTTCTCCAATAGGGAGGGAAAGTTCGATGTCTCAATCGGAATCACTAGGCATTTCGCTTCTTCCTCCTCCTTTCTGTTTATTGAGAATTCTTTCTGAATAACCTACTCTCTGATTGCGAATTCGAGT